CACCCAGCTAATTTTTTTTTTTTTTTTTTATTTGTTGTAGAGATGAGGTCTCACCAAGTCGCCCAGGCGGGTTTCGAACCTGCAGGCTCAGGCAGTTCACTCACCTCAGCCTCCCAAGGCGCAGGATTACAGGCTGAGCCACTGAGCCCGGCTATGTTAAAGAGGTTTTTAAGGTGTGTATTGACACTTGCTGATTGCGGATTACAATAACCATTTGTCATTGGAGGCTTTACCCTCTGGGCTGTTTTAATGTGCAATTTTTAAAAGTGCCCAGGTGTGTGTGTCCCATCTGGATGAGACCTTCTGCTCCATTGGGCTGATAACCAAGGGTCCTTATCTTGACCTTGGCCCCTTCACTCCTTCCCCAAATCGAATTCCACCTTGTCCATATGGTGTTCTGCATGGTCCCGGGCAAGCAGCGCTGCTGATGTTCCTGAATGTTCTTACCACGGTGGATGGAAGGTGCTGTTCTCTGCTCCATTTTACAGATGAGGGAACGAGAGGCCAGAAAGGGGGAGTTGCTGACATCTGAGTCTGTACTTTACTTCAGGGGTTCCCCAAATTGCTCACTCATCAGACTCACTGGAGAAGCTTTGCATCCCAGGTTCCTGGGCATCAGTGCATTAATGTAGCCCACCCAATGCCTGGGAAGGTTTGGAAAGGCCTGCCTCCCTCCCCACTGGATTTAGGATGTGTTGATGGAAAAGTAGCAATAAAGAGGGCATCCTGAACATCTAGATCAGGGGCTGCCACGTTTTTTGTAAGGGACCCAAAAGGAAACACCTTCACTTTTGCAGGTTGTGTGGTCTCTGTTGCAACTTCTCAACTCTTGTTGTACAGATGCTCCTTGACTTATGATGAACCAATCCTGATGAGCCCATCATAAGCTGAAAATAGCATAAATTGAAAATGCATTTAATAGTGGCTGGGTGCAGTGGCTCACACCTGTAATCTCAGCATTTTGGGAGGCCGAGGTGGGAGGATTGTTTAAACCTAGGGATTTAAGACCAATTTGGGTAACATAGTGAGACCCTGTCTCTACAAAAATAATTTTTAAAAATTAGCTGGCAGCCTGGCACAGTGGCTCACACCTATAATCCCAGCACTTTGAGGCAAGAAGATTGCCAGAGCCCAGAAGTTTGAGACCAGCCTGGGCAACTTGGCAAGACCTCGTCTCTATAATAAATTAGCTGGATATGGTGGTGTATGCCTGTAGTCCCAGCTATTTGGAAGGATGAGGCAGAAGGATCACAGAGCTCAGCAGGTCCAAGCTGTGGTAGACATGACTGTGTCATTGCACTCCAGCCTGGGCAACAGAGTGAGACTCTAACTCAAAAAAGACAAAAAACAGCCAGGCACGTTGGTGTGTACCTGTGATCCCTACTCGGGGAGCTGAGGTGGGAGGATTACTTGGGCCTAGGAGGTTGAGGCTGCAGTAAGCTATGATTGTGCTACACCCTCCCACCTGGGTGACAGAGTAAGACTCCCAATTCAAAAAGAAAAAAATGCATTTTCTAAACCTAACCTACCAGACATCACATCTTAGCCTAGCCTACCTAAAACTTGCTCAGAACACTTGCATTAGCCTGCAGTTAGACAGAATCACCTAACACAAAGCCTATTTTATGAATAATTCATGTAGGAGTATCATACTGTATTTTTCTCCTGGAAAAAGGTCAGAATTCAGAGTCAAAGTATTGTTTCTTATCCCTTTTATTCCATTGTAAGGTTGAGCAATCATAAGCCAAACCATCTTAAATTGGCAACTGTCTATCACAAAAGCAGCTATAGACAATAGGTAAACAAATGCATGTGGCTGAATTTGGTGCATGGGCCATGGTTTACCCTTCGTGATCTAGAGAATTCATCTTATGCATGATCAGAGAAGTGATTGAAACTGCCACTCTCTAGGGTGTGTGTGGGCTTGTGTGAGAATTTAGGGGCCATCAAGATGTATAGGATCAGAATTGCATTCAGCAGCTAGTACAAAGACCCTAAAGCATTAGCTTGAACAAATGAGAGATGAATGTTTCTCTTTGTTAAAAAAAAAAAAAAAGTCTTGTACAATTAATCTGATTATTGGTGTGAAGTTTCCATTATGTCATGGAGACCCAAGGGCTTTAGAAACTTGGTAGGCCTTCTGTTTCTCCTTGTAATTCCACTGGAAATGTCTATCCATTAATTGAATATTTTGGGTGTTAGTCTTCATTCCTTCCTCTTGTTCACAAGGATGTTGTGAAAGACCCTGATGGTCACTATCCCGTAGTTCAAATATATAATTTGGGGACGATGGGTGGTTTTTACATAGAAGCCGAATTTATCACTCATGTTACAAATGTCAGTTTTTATGGTTAAGAGGTTTTTAAGATGTGTGTTGACATTCACTGATTTAAATACAATAGCCATTTATCACTGGAGACTTTACTCGCTGTGCTGTTCTTAACTCATGTAATTTTTTACATGGATTGATCTCTTTCCCACTTATCTGCTTTTCCACTTGTCCCTAAAGGTGCTAGGGCCTGTATAAAGTTGATGAAACAGCCCTCACATTTTGTACCCCTGGAGCATTCTCTTAAGAGTAATAACTTAATTAAAATAAAGACATTTTCTGTCCCACTTAGGCTTATCCCATCTGGATGTGACATTCTGTCTAACTGGGCAGATCTCAGCTCCAGCTCCCTCCCTCCTTTCCAAGCATAGTGGCCTTGTTCTCCATACCACCTTTGGAGGGAAATGCTGTTATGAGCTCCATTTTACAGATAAGGAAACAAAAGGCCAGAAAGGTTGAATAGCCTCTCACCAGGAACCTGTTAGTGCTACAACATGCATATGACAAAAACATGACAAATGCATCTCTGCCATTAATTAGGCTGTTGATCTCTGTTAATGCTGGGAAAATGACAGACAGCATGTTGTCCTGTAGCCTGCCTGGTTGAATCATTCTTTCATGAACCCATTTGTTTAGCCAGTACAACTGAGTCCCTACTCTGTGCCAGGAATGGGACGCCCAGTGGTGTGTGAGACAGATGTGACCCCTGCTCTGATGGAGCTGGCTCTTGTGGGCTGAGCGCTGTTGAAATTCCTCTCCTTTGGAATGAGGGCTTTAACTTTTCCTTTCTTCGTCCTTTTCTGGGCAGGTCTATATCCGAATAAAAGATGATGAGTGGAATGTCTATCGGCGGTATACGGAGTTCAGGAGCTTACACCACACGTTACAAAACAAGTACCCTCAAGTGAGGGCCTACAGCTTCCCACCCAAAAAGGCCATCGGAAACAAGGTACTGCCCCTGGGGTACAGCCTGCATTGAGGCAGAGCATTCTTCTTCTTTAGTCTAGTCTATTATGTGTTTTGTTTTGTTTGAGTAGGAGTTTCGTTCTGTCAACCAGGCTGGAGTGCAGTGGCATGCTTCACGGCCACCGCAGCCTCGACCTTCTGGGTTCAAGTGATCCTTCCACCTCAGCCTTCCAAGTTTTAGTCTATTATTTAAGCACACATGCTCCTTAAGAAAAAGTTGGCTGAGATAAGGGGAAAAAATAGAAAAAAACAGGCCAAGTGTGGTGGCTCATGCTTGTCACCCCAGCACTTTGGGAGGCTGAAGTGGGAGGATCACTTGAGCCCAGGAATTGGAGACTAGTGTGGGTAACATAGTGAGACCCCATCTCTACAAGAAAGAAAATATTTATATATAATGCTACCACTTAAAGACAGTTGTCATTATGTTGTGTGTATGACATCTTATTTCCCTAGAACAGAAGTTGGAAAACATTTTCTGTACAGGGCCAGAGAGTTAACATTTTCGACTTTGGGGACTATACAATTTCAGCAGAAATACTCAGCTCTACTGGTGTGATGTTAAAGTAACTATAGGCAGCATGGACACAAATGGTCGTGGTTGTGTTCCAATACAATTTCATTTTTAAGACTAGACGGCAGCAAGATTTGGCCCATGGGTTAGTTTTCTGACCTCTGTTCTGGACCAAACATTTTCTTTTCTAGTTTTCATCCATAGCTGTTATGATACTTATTAAGATGTGATTGTGGCTAGAACTTTCTCAGAGAAGTTGTTTTGTTACAGAACTGCTCACCTAATGAAGGTTAATTATTCATGATGAATGAGTGTATTTCTGTGTTTTCACTCGGGTACCCTGGAGGGAGGAAGTCCTAGCCCCCCACAGGCTTGCAGGTTGACCAGTAGTCATTCATTCAGAAGGCACTTACTAAACTTTTATTACATGTCACTGTGTAAGGGGCTGGGACCAGCACTGAAGAAGAGAGACCTGGGTCTAGGCCTGGCATAGAGCCCTGTGGAATTGTCTGCTTGAGCCAGTTTGCACACTTGGTCACACCTCATGTTTGCTTACGGGAGCAGTTCTCCATTTTGGCTGCACTTTGGATCACCTGGAAGCTTTAAAAGCCACTGAGGGGCCATTGCCTTGCTAGACTCTGGTGTGGCCACATGCTTTTTGAGCTATGGCTGTCGCCATGCTTCCTGGCTTTGGCCCCCTCCCCACCTTGGGGAGGTGAATCTTCTCTCTCTCTCTCTCTCTCTCTCTCTAATTTACTTTTAAATAAACTATATTTTCTAATCTAAAAAAAAAAAACCCACTGAGGAGCTTGGCATGGTGGCATGCGCCTGCTGTCCTAGCTACTCAGAAAACTGACGTGAGAGGATTGCTTGAGCCCAGGAGTTCGAGGCTTCAGTGAGGCATGATCACACTACTGCACTCGAGCAATAGAGCAAGACCCTCAAAAATAAAAATAATAAAAAATAAAAGCCACTGAGGTCCAGTTGCAGTGGCTCACATCTGTAATCCCAGTGCTTTGGGAGGCTGAAGTGGGAGGATCACTTGAGCCCAGGAGTTAAAAACGAGCCTGGGCAACGTAGCAAGACCCCAGCTCTACAAAAAGTAAAATGTTAACAAGGCACGGCAGTGCATGCCTATAGTCCCAGCTACTTGGGAGGCTGAGGTTAGAGGATCGCTTGAGCCCAAGAGTTTGAGGCTACAGTGAGCTATGATTACACCACTGCACTCTAGCCTGGGTGACAGAGCAAGATTGTATCTCAAAAACAAACAAAAAAGCCTAACTAAATAAATAATATTTTTTAAAAAACACCCTGAGAATTGCCCATTCTGATTTTATCGACCTGGAGTGAGACCTGGGCATTGAGGGTCTGATAGCTCTCTAGATGATTTCAACATGCTTCCAAACTGGAGAACTCCTGGCTTAGCATCAAAGAGGGAGTGGAGGAGGCACTTCAGCAATTCCAATATATGTTAAATGCCTTGGCAGGCACAGTTCAGTCAGATGAGGAGGAGTCCCTCTTCAGGACATGTAAGAAGTTGGGTATTGTGTTGAGAGTGATCCTGCTACTGTCTTCTCAAGGTGTGGCCCCTGCCACCAGCAGCGTCACCTGGCAGCTGTTTACAAATGCATATTCTTGGGCTCACCCCACACTGACTGACTCACAAACTGTGGGGCTGAGACCCCACAATCTAGGTTTAACGAACCCCCCCGGGTGGTGCTGATGCCTAAATAAATGTGAGGACCACTGTTGTATCCTGTTGACAAAGCCATGTGGCAGATTCCATATGGAATGAATTTCCTAACTTCTCTCTTCAAGAGGCACCTTAAGACTTCCTTTGACCTTTATCGTAGGAAAACAGAGCAAGAGTTTCTATAATCCACTCCCAGCACTTGGGAATTCCATAGGGAAAACTACTATTGCTAACTGCTATGTTTACATGTGCGTAATTTCTGTGTATAAAACATATGGAAGCTGGGCTCGGTGGCTCAGCCTGTAATCCCGCGCCTTTGGGAGACTGAGGTGAGTGAATTGCCTGAGCCCGCGGGTTCGAGACCCGCCTGGGCAGGCGAGACCTCATCTCTACAATAAAATAAAAAAATTAGCCGGGCGTGATTGCGCGCACCTGTAATTTCGGCTACTTGGAAGGCTGAGGCAGAAGGATCACCGGAGCCCAGCAGGTTGAGGCTGCGCCAGGAGCGGCCACTGCACTCCAGTCTGGGTGACAGAGAGACTCCAACTCAAAAAATAAAAATCTAAATAAATAAATAAAATAAAACAGATGGAAATCTGATCATGCCAAGGTTTGCTGGATTTTAATTTAAACACTTATAAGGCAGGTTTATCTCAGGGTCAGAATATCCTTTCCTTTATTTTTTTGTTGAAGAAAAGTGGAATTGAATCCTTACACATGGAAGACTTAGAAATTCTACATGTCAGGCCAGGTACAGAAGCTCATGCCTAAAATCCTAACACTTTGAGAGACTGAGACAGGAAAGTCACTTGAGAGGAGGACTTTAAGACCAGCCTGGACAACATAGTGAGACCCTGTCTCTACAACAACAACAACAACAACAAAATTATAAAAATATTAGCCAGGCGTGATGGTGCATGCCTGTAGTCCCAGCTATTCAGGAGACTGAAGCAAAAGGGATCACTTGAGCCCAGGAGTTCAAGGCTGCAATGAGCTATGACCACACCACTGCACTCCAGTCTAAGCAACCAGAGTGAGAGAATTTTAAAAAATTTTTTAAATTAAAAAAAAAAAAATTATATACTTTTCCATAGCAAGTAGTGCAATAATTCTTATGAAAAGAGAAGGAAAATTATATACTAACTTAATTTAATGAACTTGTGGGCTCATAAAAATCTTGGTACCCATCCAGAATGTCTTAAAGTGTCATAAAACAAAATTCTGCCTAACCAACATTTATCATTGTAAGATATTCTCATTTGCTAAAAGCACTTCTTCAGTGAGTCTGGCCTACTGGCATCTGGCTAAAGAAAAGCTGTTCTAGCACTAGGCTGGACCAAGGGGATTTGGATAGTGAAATGTCTTGTGTTCTGTACTGTAAGTCCTTATTTAATATCATCCATATGTTCTTGGAAACCTCAGATTTAAGCAAAATGATTGACCATATAATGAAACCAATTTTACCCAGGCTAATTGATGTAAACAAGAGTTAAGTTCCTATGGCATACAGTGTTTCATTTCACTTCAAGTCAGAGTTCCCAAGAACTTACCAACAGTGTTAAGTGAAGCCTTACTGTATGAGTTTCCTGTTGTTGCTGTAACAAATGACCATAAATGCAAGGGCCTAAAACAACACAGATTTATTACCTTATAGTTCTGGAGGTCAGAAGTACAAATTCAGTCTCCCAGGGCTAAAACCAAGGTGTCAGCAGGGCTGATTACTTCTGGAACTTCCAGAGAGAGTCCGTTTCTGGCCTTATCAACTTCTGGAGGCCACCGCATTCTTGGCCTGTGGCCCTCTTCTGTCTTCACAGACAACAGTCACATCACTCTGATCTCTGCTTCTGTCATCATAGTCACGTCTCTTTCTGATTCTGACTCTTCCTCTTAGCATTCCCTTGTGATCACATTGGGACCATCTGGATCATCCAAGATAATTTCCCTCATCTTAAGATCCTTAATTGTATCTGCAAAGTCCCTTTTGCCACGTGAGGGTCTGGGAATTAGGGCATGGATGTCTATGGGGGCTTTATTGATCCCACCACACATTGCACCTTACTAAATGCTTTCTCTGCAGCTGGTAGCATCTCCCTCCCTACCTCATACCTTCTCGGGTTCTACAGTTCTGTGAAACTTGTTTAAGACAAAGCAGACCTGCCAAGAGCAACGCCAGTCCCAGGAACACTGGAATGAGAGTTAAATTTAGTGAGATGAAGCACAGACTAGGGAGCAGGAGGGTTTTCTAGAGTTGAGTCACGTAGGAAGAGAACATAAAGCTATCCTAGGTCTCTCTCATGCCAGGACCAAGAGCTGGTTTCCCCTGCGGTGAGTCAGCCACGGCCCTGTGTCATGCTGCCCACCCTCACCCCCAGGGTAGAGATCATCTACTCCATCAGTCCTGGGAATGACTTCCATCAGCATGGACCTTTCCCCTGTGATGTCTGTGCCCATAGAGCAATGTTCCCCATCCCCCATAATCCTATTTGCAAATAAACGCACTTGGGAATTAAAGGTACCGTGATAGTGGGCCTGACCAGCGATGCCCATCTTGTATAAATGCAACAACTGTTTTTTAACCAGGTTCATGATCCTGCTCCCTGTTCTCAGGGGTAGATCTGACAGCGCAAGAGCAGTCTTGGGGCCGTGGCCTCATTTTGACCCTGTGCTGCCCTTTAACTGTTAATGAGCTGGTCAAACCATGCTTGTACTCTGATTCCTTCTTTCCCTCTGGGTTTGGCTGACCTAGACATACCTACTTCCCTTAAGTCCACTTTGGCTA